GAGGGGGGGGGGGGGGTCGGAGGGAGGTTGGTTGTTTGCGCGGTGACCTGGAACTGAGGGTAGGAAAAAAGAGAAAACAAGAAGAAGGGAAGGGTCGGATGTGGAGGAGAAGGAAGTGGAAGTGGAAGTGGAGGAGTCTTGGGTATGGTCCGTGGCGTCCTTAGGTAGGGCTCGGGCTAGGCCGGCGGGACGGAATTGAAACGGTGGCAGTAAACTAAAATGGAATAATAGGGGACCGGAAGCGCCTTACGAAACCATCCGGAAGTTCTCACGCGTCTCTCGCTTCTTCTACGACCGCAACGAACATGACACCTGGCACTCGCGTAGCTCGCAGATGACCGAGAGAGAGTACCAGGAGAGTCGGAGGGAGATGGATGACGATGGCTCCCAACGTCAAAAGGTTTTACCAGTAAACGGGTCCACCCTGACAGTGAAGTATCATCGCCACCTGAACAGGGCAGAATCGATCCTCCTGAATTCATCCTGAACCAGCTCAGGGAAGCGAAGCCCAGGATCAGCTCAAGGAATCCAGTCCGATGAGCAGGAACTTCAGGACCCCCTAACTCTGTTTTTTTGCTCCTGGCTTAAGAAATCCTCGCAAAGACTAGGGGGCGGTCGTTGGAGGCTCCTCGAAGTACCGGAAGTGGTTGGAAAAAGTTTGTCCAGACCTCAGTCGAGGTAACGAAGACGAAGTGGGATGACCAACGGCATCTCCTCGTTGGACCACTTCCTGGATCCCGTTCTCTTTCAGCCTCGCTCGAAAGAATAATGTTCCACGGGATGCCGACGCCAACTGGCGCCAGTTTATTCGCGCGTGCGCACAGTGCGTAATGTCCGATGACATTCTTCGAGAACATCGGCGGGAAAGAAGAAGAGGAAAAAAAAGGAGAGAAAAAAACAACTTGAACTCGATTCGACGACTCGTTATGAATGAAGAGGGGCCCGTACCGAGTCTCTCTCTCTATCAGGACGCACCTTCAAGCGTCGAACCAACTGGACGGGAAACCAAGCGACCAGCCAGCCAGCTAAACCAACGAACCAGCCGAGAAACCAGCCAACAGGTTCGAACCTCGTCGAGTGGGCGCCACTCGTTGCTCCAGGCGATGTTCTTACTCGCCTCCTTGGCTCCATAAGCGCATAATTTAACCGCGTATCCTCGGAATGTCACGGTAAATCCTCACTGAAATCCAACGACGTCGAGACGCCAGGCGTCAAGATTCTCCGAGGAGATCTTCTCCTACCAGTTTCCTCGGTCTGCTCTATTCACGCGTCCCTCCACGGACGTCCGGAGGACGTCTCAAAACCCACAGTATACCCTCGATTGTACCTGGTCCCGGGACATGATGAGCTCACGAAAAAAAAAAAGAAAAAAAAAGATCTCAAACTCGTTTCAATTGTCCAAAGTGACGGAGAGACTGTTCTTCGTCTAGTCGAATTACGCAACGCGGATCGATCGAACGATAAACAAACTGTACTGGCAGTCGATTCGCCGACACAGAAGTTCGTATCAGGTTCCTACTTCCTGTTGACTGAATCACTGCTGTACTAAGAGATACGAGTGCCCGTGCCTGATTGGCTTACAACAACCATTTCTTCAGATAACGGCTCCATTTAGCCTCGAGGATTGTACAAATACCAAATACGCTCCCGTCTCTCTCTTAATCTTTCTTTCATTATTTATTTTCTCTCTTCGCTCTTTCCTCTTCCTTGTTTTCAATCTACGCGCTCTCCCAGTGAATCACTGTCTGCTATCGCGTCTCAAGTTTTGCATCGGTAAACGTCACGCGTATGCCAATTAGCGATATTCTCGATCAAGGAAAAAAAAAATCAAGAGAGATCAAGAAAAAAAAAGTGGGGGCAAAATCCAAGATATCTCATCCCCGAACCGGCCTTGACTTTGAGTCTTCGAATGATCGCGTGTCCGCTCAAAACAATCCCCACTTGCTCTCTTTGGATCTAGAAAGTGCCATAATATTACGTCAAACCATCCGATCAGTTTGCGCCTGGACCAGATTCCAATAATTGGGCATAGCCCGTGGATCGTGAAACGGTACGAATACCGATTATTCGTGTTTTAATGATTTTATTGAATTTTCGTTTTTTCACTGATCGACACGATATAGCGTCTATGAAAAATCAATGATCCTCTCGTAATGCGTCTACACGTCCTTGACGTGTCTCCGTCTGGACGTTCCCAGGACTTACCCCAATCTGATACAGCACTCTTGGCTCCTGATGCGGATGCCTGTGCTTCTTGCTGTCAATCAAGTCGATCTCAATGGCCACGTCCTGAAACTCCTGAAGCTTCGCCAGGTATCTACTCTCGTCCAGGGACAAATATTCGTTGATAAACTCCTCGCCGGCTTCGTCGAGCTCGACTCCTAGGAGACTGGCGCGCGCTGCCGCGATAAAGATGCTGACCACCAGACACAGTAGCACTCTGAGATTCTTCATCTTGAGAAAGATAAAATACAATCTCCGTATCTCCTTTCTCTTGTCACTATTTCTTTTTTCTTATCTTTCTTCTCCCTTTTCCTTTCTTTCGTCTCCTCGACGATTCTCTTTAAACCGTCTCAAACCTCTTTGTCGTCTCTTTGCTTACTCAGATCTCCTTTCCTGAACCCGTTGCATTAAGATCCAAAGACCCAAAGTGCGGCACACAGCTTGACTCAGCGCAGTTCACACCTCATATCGCACGCACCTATCACATAACACAGTCTGGGCAAAAGTGCAACATCAACCGGAAAAAAAAAAAAAAAAAAAAAAAAAACGGCACACAGCTTGACTCAGCGCAGTTCACACCTCATATCGCACGCACCTATCACATAACACAGTCTGGGCAAAAGTGCAACATCAACCAAAAAAAAAAAAAAAAAAAAAAAAAACTCGACTCTATCTGCCCCGTTAACAATTTAATTGTCAATAAAGCAAAAAGACAAAGTTATCAAGAACGCACTATAGTCCAGAGTAAGGATTCACTTGAAGTCCATCTTCGAAGGACAACTGGTAACGTAGCAGCGAACAGGACTCAATTCCTTACGTGGTATCCTCAAGATCAATTGTCATCTATGACGATCGCCAATGATCGATAGATCACATAACACAGTTGAGAAAATTTAATAAAGCAAATAACAAAACACCGTTACAAGCCTAGACCAGGTCGCGACCCAAGTGTCACTCGATCAGTTTTTCTCCTTTTTGATCTTTCACCCTGGATCAATGATCTTGCGACGATCGATCACTCTCGACTGTATTTTTACTATCTATCAATCGTCACTCTTGAATCTTCGTTCGGACACTCTTCATCGTACCAAGTCGAAATTCTACGGAGAAGGTAAACCCGCTGGTCGCTCGGATTACTCGTGGCTGAGTAGTAGGTGAGTGCCGGGCGTAGAATGGCGCCCACGGGGTACACGAAAGGTATACTGTGCTGAACTGGACTCTTAGGCTAGAGGCAAAGCATGAATGGGTGCCTCCCTTCTTCCTCCCCGCTCTCCCTGTCTCGTCCCTCGAAACCTCTCTCTCTCCCTCCCCACCGACTCTCCTCTTACTCTTGCGGCTGAGTGAGCGAGCGAGTGGTCCCGTCCGCCTCCCCACCCTGTCCCCTATCACCCAGGTGCCGGAGGTTCCCTCGCCTTCGCCTTCCGCGCCCGCGGCCTTTTTCCTCCTTCTCCGGCTCCGAGGGCCATTTTTATATACTTTACCTCACTGCACCTTTACTGCATCTCGGTGCACAGTGCACAGTGCACAGGTTGTTACGGCATAAACGCATTCCCCATTGACTCGCGCAAGTGCATCTACCACATTTTTCTCTTTCATCGATCACGGTCGGTCCGATCGATTTTCAATATCGGTATATGGTATCTGGATTTTGGATTTGTTATTAGCATTTTTTTGGGGGATTTCAAAAAATTTTTAATCTATAGGGAAATCTAGGAATTTTACGTAATGAAAGAGAGAAAAGGTGTACCGTTTATCGGGAAAGTATCCGTTACTCCACGATACTGCCCTGACATTCCCGGTGAATGTACATTGCTGGTAGTATATGGTTGTACGAGTACTTAGGTCGAACCGAGTGTACCGGCATTATTATTGTCAAGATGGATCTTGGTGGGGGGATAGTACTCGTTACTTGTATTCACTTTAATAGGATCTCAGTGTAAAGTCTCATTGCTGGGAGGACTGAGACTCGTTTGATACTTGGTAGCCATGACGAAGGTTTTACCTAGTCAGATTTTTTTTTAATTTTGTTTTCTCTATTTTTATCTTTCGTGGGCCACTTTCTTTATTTCTTTATTTTACGTTATTAATAGCCCTTTGATGGCTACCCGAAGGTTACCTGTTATGGTTCGACTTTGGGACTAAACGAGCCACCCTGTATACCGAGGCACCCTTTCATCCCTTATATCATTTTCTTATGGACCTTTACTCGCTTCTTAACCACTTCTACCTTCCACTTGATCCTTGCTTATGTTATTGCCATTTCTACCGACCACTTCCAAGTCTCCTTCTTGGGGTAAAATCGGTACTGCGAGACCTTGAGACCCTTTTCGCCAGCCCTTGCAATACGGAGGGGTCCTTTTGGATGATTTCGCCTAAATTAAAATTTTGAGAATTTTTACCTGTTTCTCGAAATTTCGGATAATGACCGGTCGATTTTACTTAGTTATTCGAAAATTTGCCAATTTTATCTTCGAGGTCAGTAAGTCGAAATTTTTTCGTTTTGACAGCTGTCAGATATTTGCGTTTATTATGATTGCGCACGGGCACTGAAATTCTCGTGGCTCAAAGTAAACTCCCGTTTTTTATGTAGCAAGCGCGGAGTTACGCAAATCGTATTTGCAACGTCGAAACGTATATCCAAGATTACGCGCAATACGTATAGATATGCAATGGCGGCTTTTCGACGCGTTCACAAGAGCGAACGAAGGCGCAATGGCACACATAGTTTGTGCCCACGTACGTAAGTGCCAGCGTGGGCGTACCAAGCGTCTGAATCCTTCAGGCGGTCTTTTGCACTTCGCCGAGCTTGCGTGGGCGACCGATCAGATTTCTAAGAGTTGAGAGCCGCTCCCGATCGATACCAATCGCACCACCTGCGCTCTTATCGATAACTCCAAATTACAAAATTCAAAGATACCGCCCGAAAACGGCACCTCCGTCCCTCGGCTGCGATCGTAGACTCAATATTTGAAAAAAAAAAAATTTATATAAATTTTCCAAAAATTTGGAAAATTCGCAAAATTCTCATTACCCAAGATAAGCGATGATGATAACAGGACTGGAGGGGAATCGTCGGTAAAATCCCTCAAAACTTAAAATCTCTCGGTATACTTCCAGTTTCCAAGCGAAGACGATAAAAAACTATCAAAGCCAATAGTCGCTGGCATACCGAACAGGTGACGCTGATCGTAATGTCAAATCCACAGTTTTACACGACCGATTGAGAACCCCTGTTTCATTGATGGAGGCTGCGGTCCATTCACTCCCTCTCTGGCCTCCCTTTCTCTCCCCTCCTCTATCGTTCTCCCGACTAGGCCTATACTGGTTCACCTCACTCACCTCTGGCTATTGGCAGAGCGCCTGCTTTTCTACATACTCACGTGCGTAAGTACCCGAGTACGTGCGGGTTTCAGTACGCGTAAGACGTACTTTGCGTTACCCATGGAAATATCGAGAGCGTTCAGTCATAGGTATAAAGCGTTAGGCACCGTTCATAGTTTCGTGATTTACGTTATTTTTCCATTGCCTTCGATAATAAAAGTATCACCGATACGTGTGAACAGGGCATTGTGATTTGGACGAAAATTTTTTTATTATTATCGTGTATCAATTTTATTGAGGTAGTTTGTATATATATGTAACAAATTTTACCCCTCATCATAAGGTGGCTGTGGATGGACCTTTCATAGTCATACGATCTCCCCGATCCTGAGAGCCGCTGCTTGCGACGTAGACTTAAGATCGGTGGTGTAAAAGTAGTATACAGGAGAGGGCGAAGTGAAGAGGTGGATGGAAGTAAAGGAGGCTGGGGCCAGGGGGGTTGCGCTACGAAGTAAGGTGAAGTAAGGTGAACTAAGGTGAAGGAGGCTGAAGGAATGGTTAGAGGGGGGAGACCGAGTGAAGTAGGGGGGACAGGTGCAGGCAGGTGCCCCAGGGCGCGACCGGAAGCCTGAAGCTGCGAGGAGCCCGAACGAACGCACTTCTTCGAGACCGAGATCTCTAGCTCGGTGTCAGTGCTTGGATCTCCGAAGATCTACAGTCGATCCTTACCATTTTAGCGATGGGTACGATCGTCCTTGGTTAAGAAAAAAGATTTTCAATCCTTTCGCTCTTCCTTACCGACGCAGCATCCCTGGACCATTTTTACGAAATGTTAACAAAAAATGGATCGCTCATCTCTTGTCGCACCGGGTACGTTTAGTTTCGTTCGGGATCACCTATGAAATCCATCTGTCGAAAATCTCGAGATAAAATTATCCCGCGAACGTCTCGTAGCTCTCGCTAGACCCAGAGGAAGTCCTGAGGTCGCCTATTAGCAGCGAGATCCTATCTTAACCGAGGATGCGCCCGTGGCGATTAGTTCCGAACGAACGAGTGTCGAACCGAACCTAACTGCCCCGGTGATCTGCCGATCTCGATATGGATGGCTTCCGCTCTGTGGCTCCCGAATGACGCCTCTTGCTCCTTGCTTCGATCGGTAGACGCTGGACCACCTGATGTTGGATCTAGCTCCGGTTCACGGATACGGCGACTATATAGGAATCTGAGAGTCGGACTAGGCGCGAGAGAAGGATGAAAGAAGATGGGGTGCGCGAGGGGCCAGAAGAGGGATCGTGTGTCGTAAATATAAACAGGGTAGAAAAAACATGGCCCCTAAGAAACAGGTGCCTGATTTGGTGAATACGCGTACATGGCTGTTCAGTGTTTAAGCCCTCGGAAATATTTTGGATTTTTTTTTTGAGGGTTGTTTTTTTTAGAGGGCTCAGAATACGTGGGTCGAAGAAATTCAGTTGCACTGCAGATAGGGAATGATCAGGATGACGTTTGCGTGTGAGGGATACGGTACTTGCAGCTTAGGTCATCAAGACTTTGTTCTTGTTTTCGTGTAGGCTTTGTATGACGGCTGACAGTAGGAAGGAGACGTGCCGATGTTGTTTTTATGAGATTTTATTTTTGGCTGTTTCAGGTAAATTATACGCTGCCTTCGGCAAGAGGCAGGGTCGCATAGTGGCCACTGAAAGTGCTCTGGGTTTCGGGGGACAGTTCCGAGTATTGGCTACACTTCCGGTACCGGAGAGCTTCCAATTGGCTCGTGAACTTCGCACCCAGACATCAGGATTGGCTAGTCCCCAGCTGGTCTTCAGTCACTGGGAAGTGAGTATGCACCTCATCCGCCAATTCCCAATCCTGGTACCGGCCACCGTGCCAAAAGTATCCGACCGTCGATCATCGATTATTTTTGCACAGAAAAAAGAAATTGGAGAGCTACGTTGAAAATGAAAAAAAAAAATTTCAAAATTCGCCAACGGTCAAATTAATTCAGCGGAACATTTAATGGAGTATTTTCACGCAGCACCATGGGGGTCCGTCTGATGGTTTCGGTAAGGCGTGGGTGTCTCCCTGCCTTCTCCCACTCCAGGTCTTCGCTAACTAAGTAGAAAAATCAGAGATCCGGGATATGGTGAGGAAGACCAGGGGGGCGAAAGAGGGGTCGGTTAGTACGAGCAGCAAAATCGGGGTGTAAGTTTCAAGCCCCCGTCGCGCCATTGTCCCATTGACAATGCAGACAATCAACCGGTGACAGGCTGACAATGCGGCAGGCTGTTGCAGCCTCTATAGCCTCTCAATACCCTCAGCGGACCTGGCTGCTCATTGGAGGCTCAGAGTCGTAGGGCCCCAGCTTCGCTTACACCGTAGGACCCCGTTAAAAGCCGTAGAATACGAACGAGACCTTAAGACTAGGGATGATCAAGCTTCCTTTCATCGGTTCGCCATTTTTTTTTTGTTCACTATCGACTCCAAAGCCACTTGGCAAGACTCTCGAGGTTGGTCGATGCATAAAACTGCAAGGTTGGCACAGAAAAAAAGGTCGACCAATGACTTTGATGACGGTACAATAATAACGTCGGTAATGTCAATTCCTACTATCCGACTGCGAGTCTCATTCACGCTATTGTTTAGGGTTCTTGGTATTTTCTATGGTTAGACGAAGCTCTCGGGTATCCCACTCGGGGTAAACGTTGTGTGAGATCAGGTGCCGGACTCGAGTCCTTTGGATACTGAAAGAGACAAAATGGAGTCAGGTACCCCAACCCAGCAGGTAGAGCTCTGCTGGCTGCCACTTAATTCTTGTTTTCACCCTGAAAATTAAATGGTCGGGTCTGCCCGCCCGCCTCCGGGTCCTCGTGGTCCTTCATTAATATCTGAGGAATTGGCTGGCATTGTTGTCGAGTGCTGAGGCGGGTCAAGGCACGGCAGGACACCGAAGTCGAGAAAGATAAAGGAAGAGGATATAATGGAGAACGGAGGAAACGGTTCTGGCGTAATGTTCAAGAGAATGGAAGAACAGTGTGAAACGTAGGATTTTACCTGAAAGAGATAAAAAAAGAATAGATGACACCACCCACTGTTGCCCAACAATGACAAAGTACATCACGAGCTGATAAGGTAACGAATAATTAACGATTTCAATAATAAATCACAGTAGGCAATTTAATACGTGACAAATGAATAATACCAAAGTTCACTTGACGAATGAAAAAGATTTCTTATCTGATACCGATCTCGGACGCTTGCAAGAAATGAAAAAAAAAAAAATTTTATTCCTACAGGAGAAAGAGCAAATGGACCAAAGTGGAACGAGACGAGGAGAAAAATGTGTATAGCGTCAGCATCGAGCCAGCGAGCCAAGCAGACAGGCCGCAACCAAGAGAGCCGCATCAGAGCTTCCTGTAAACAAGAATGAGTTAATGAATGAAGCCAAGCGGAGAGAGGAAGAAAAAGTCAGGACTGGTTGGTGCACGGGCCATGGCGAAGGTTTTGCTGGGCGTCGTGCGCTTCCTAGAGATCACCTCTCCGGATCTCTCTGAGACGATCTTCTCGCTCCTTTGCTTTTTCGATCGAATTAACGCGCGTCGCTGGCTCCGTCGTTCATCCTGAGCACCCAACCCGTAATTCCCTCCCCGGCCTCTCCCCACCCGCCGTTAAGCCAGTTTTCAACTAAATCATCCAATAGGACCAACCCGTACTACGTACACCCGTTATGGCCGTTTCCTTTGCCCATCTTTATTCTAGTTGCTCCCAAGAGACATTCTTTTCTCGTTTACCGGTACAACCGGCGACTACCGGCCATTACACGACAGACACACATATATATAGAAATGAATGGATAAAATTCTAACCAGCGTATCTACACCTGTCTCTCTTCGTATTCCTATAGCGGAGGACCATTTTATTTCTATGTATCTATACCAGGACGTGGCCTGTCGTGTTCTCCTCCCTGTTGGGCCAACCGGATGCTGCGCCGCGTGCGTTCTCTTGCGTGGTCCGATCGATTTCGGTCGTTTGCTCGGTAACGTCTTGAGGCCTCGGGAATATAACGGACGTTCTTCTTGCTCGTTTCTAATGGCCGACGAGAAGCTTACAGAGAATCGCCTGGAACCGGCCAGGCCCGGCTGTCTCACCGGAAGATTATCACGTGCTCCAAGAAAAACCCTGTGATTTTACCTGGTAGAAAACGGTACACGGTATTTATCTGTGTTACCGCGAGATGAGCGTTGAATGATAAAGATGTCTTTTTTTTTTTACTTTCTCTCTGAGAATATTGTTTTTATCGTCCAGCCAAGATTCCAGGGGTCGCTTAAGAATTTAAGGGTGCGACTTGGTATAGCTCCGAGGGGGTAAATAAGATCTTCCGAATCATCCCGTTAAATCACGCATCGGTTTCGCCCGTTAACGCCTGATGGACGATTATTCCTACTGCGAGATAGGAATATTTTACTACGTAGATTAAGGTGATACGGGACAGTCCAGTCCCGCGGGATTCCACTCGCAGGACTCACCAGGAATTTTACTGGAATTCCAGCCGAGATCAGATCTCTGCGTTTAAATCACTTGTCCAAGTCGGTTATACGTGTACATGTATACACACGTAAAGTCTGACGTTCAAGAGCCAGACTAAAATTCACTCCCGGGATAATTTAAAAAGGGTACCTAAAGGTAACAAAGCTTCTAGAAGCCAACAGGTTGTCAGTGTCCCGACAACTGCTCCTTGGTATCCTACGTCTAATCTTGCCAAGGAGCACAGCCGAGGAAGAAGAAGAAGAAGAGGAGGAAGCGCAGGTACATAGATAGCTAGATGTAAATGCAATAAGAAGAGCAAAGAAAAGGACAGTGAACATACCAAAGAGCCGAGGCTAAGCACCACGAAAACAAATCTGGTTGAAACAAAAACTTTTGGCTACCATCTGCTCGACGGGAGCCCCCTTCGAAAATTTAGTCCGGCGTCCCGACGCTAACGAGCGAGGACCAGTGCCTATTTCTTTGCCGGCGGGAGCCGAGCCAGGTGTCCACATCTTATAAATTTCAATACGACCGAGGAGGGAAAAGGTAAAAAACCTGCAGGAAGGACGACGTCGGTGGTTGGGGGAGGGGGC